ATTTCTTGTGACACCCCTGTCCTCCTCTTCTCAAGAGTTTTTGCTGCCCACCTTACTTAATGAGTAACTACTATAGATGAAACATTGTGAGGATACAAACATAAGTAGAACATAGTTATCTGCAACAGTCTTGATGGAAGGAAAATCATGCAAGCAACTAAGTACACTGAGAGATCATTTCTCTTAACGTCACTTGTTTTCCTAATGCAGATTCTAATTGATTTCCGTAGTTCTCTTGTCATTTACAGCCCATTTTTCCAGCCTGAAGCTAATCTCTTAAAATGTAAATTTATTTATGTACAGCATGTCTTCAAATAACATCATTTCATTCAGTGTAGCTTCCTTATAATGTTGATGAGATGCCATAGGAACTTCACTGCTGTTTCTATCAATAAGCCTATGATAAAACTGATTTTGTTATACCACATTGTTTTGCTTAAAGTCACAGAACCCATCAACAATGTTAAGTGAGGACATACTGTATTCCACTCATTTTAAACTCCAGTAGCTTCTCACCACATTTAAAATAAAATTTGAACTCCCATCTCACCACCTACCATTCTCACAATCTCTGGCTGTGTTCAAACCCCACTGGTCTTAATTTCTGTCCTTCAGACATAACCTGTTGTTCTTAGTTTAGGACCTTTGTATTTGCTACATGCTGCCTAGAATATTCTAAGAACAGCCTTTATTATTGAGGTCTTAATATGTCACTTCTTCAGTGATGTCTGTCTGTAAAATGTAAAACACCCATCCCTTCATTAAAAAAGAAAAATCTGTTTTATTGTCTTTATAGCAGTTATCACTGTCTAAAATTGTCTCATGTTGCCCAGAAAGGTTAGATTCTTTGTATTTGTAAAACATAGATTTAGACATTTTGCTCCACAGTTAGCAATGAAAACTCATATTCAAAATAATTATGTAATTTCTTCCAAATCCCAGATGATGGAGTGTTAAGGACACAACTTTCTCTAAGGGTATAAGCTACTCAAGAGCTAAACCGGTATTTAATTTATCTCTTTGTTTCTAGGACCTAACACAGTTTAGTGCTCAGAGTGATTTGGTCTCGCTTATGTGTAGTAGAGTTTGTATGAGTTGGCAAATGATGAACCCTCCCCTCCTATGTGATTAATGAGAAATCTGGTTTTTCTTAGGTTTTTGTGATGTTCAGTTTTTTGGTGGTTTTTTTTTTTAATGTTTCTAGGAGCTTGAAATCGTCATTGGAGATGAACATATTTCTTTCACAACATCAAAAATTGGTTCCCTTATTGATGTCAATCAATCCAAGTAAGTGTACATGATTCTTATATCCAGGTGTCTGTTTTGCAGCAGATTGATACGAAACCCTTAACAAAATTGGGACCATTGTGGTAAGATCTGGTACATATACAAAACAGAAGGGGTCAGCTTTGGCCCTCTCACTGGAGAGAGACTCAGTTATTTTCAAGGGCTTGTTCCTATTGCTTTTGGTGTTTTATCCAATTATTACTAATAAGAGCTGCTTGGTGACACAGAGTGATGCCATAGGAGCGGCTAAAGTGGGTAACAGTCTGTCCAGAATAGAGAAATGAAGTATGTCAATACAGGTGCTTGAGATATACTGTAGAGTCACTGAATTTAAACACCTTCCTTGGTGTCAGTCATTCAGACTAGCACATCTTTTAAGTCTGACTTGGGTGAAACTTGAAATTATTTGGAATACAAATTTAAAAATTCATGTTGTCAGTTGAGCAGTTTATAAAGTTGAGACATGAATCTGCAAGCTGCAGAGTCCTCAGAATTTGACAACCTCTTTGGCTCTTGTACTTTGAGGATATGAGATTAGATATGGCTCACTTTTAGTACATGGTAGGCCTAATTGTCTTCCTTTGGACAGTCTCTTTGTTCTTAGCCAGTTATGCCATAGTAATCTTCAGCATCTTGGTCCTGACTTGTACCACTTCTTTTAAAATAAAAAGGTTTTCCAAGTACTGCCCCGCCCCACCGGTCCTTGCTCTTTTTGGCTCTTTCCTTCTCTCACACCCTCTGTGTGCATGCACTGAGAGGCCATGGGAGCACTTGGTGAGTTGGTAGCTGTCCACAAGCTAGAAAGAGGGCCCTCACCAGAACCCAACCATTCTGGCACCCTGATCTCTAACTTCCAGGCTCCAGAGTTGCGAGAAAATAAATTTTTGTTGTATAAGCCAGCCACCTGCTGGTATTGTGGTACGACAGCCTGAGAAGAGTAAGGCAGCCACCACCAAGATCTTTGGGAAACCAAAGAACCCATAATGGCTCTAAACTGGAGATAACCAATAAAAGTATTTTCCAAACTACATTTAGCTAAATAATAGATATAGAGGACAGTAACAAGTGTTTCTGAACAATAAAAAATTTCCTATGGTGAACAAAATCCTCCTCTTGAAGGTAATTCACAAAAGCATATTAAAGACTTCTGTTTAAAGTTTTCCTAATTCTGAAATTAATACATCATTATAGAATATAAAGGAAAAGTAGAAAAGGGGGGAAAAAATCACCCATAAACTTATCAGTTAGACAACCATTAGTACCTTAAAGTATTTATCTTTTTTCCATGCATTAAAGAATATATAGTTTTTATTTTATCTTTTAGATTTTATTTATTTACTTTTAGAGAAAGCAGAAGGGAGAAAGACAGGGAGGGAAACACCAATGTGTAAGAGAGACCTCGATCAGTTGCCTCTCACACACCCCCAGCAGGGACCTGGCCCACAACCCAGGCATGTTACCTGACTCGAAGTCAAACTGGCAACCTTTTGGTTTGCAGGCCGGCATTCAATCCACTGAGCCCCACCAGCCAGGGCAGAATATATAGTTTTTTTAAAGCACAAAAAATATCATCTAGACCAACAATATGTTATTTTAATGAACTTTTTTCACTTAATATAAGCATTTCCCCATTTTAAAAAACCTAACATTTTAAATGACCTCATAATATTCCATTTTAATATATAGCATATAGCCATTTCCTTCTTTTTGGATATTTTGTTTTCAAAGTTTTAATTCTGTAAATACTTTTATGATTAGTATCTTGGTACATAATCTGGGTTATTAAATGGTATTCTCTTGCCCGTTTTTCTCAGCTTTTTAAATATTTTTTTTCCTTTGCATTTTAGGGACCCAGAAGGCTTACGAGTATTTTACTATCTTGTCCAGGACCTGAAGTGTTTGGTCTTCAGTCTTATTGGATTACACTTCAAGATTAAACCAATCTAGACTGAATATTGGTGTGGACACAAGGGGGGTGGGAGTAGCTGTTTTTAATTACCACTATCAGGAAATTTTTGTGTATATCAGGCCAATTTTTTTATAAACTATAAATGGTTGTCTCTAATAAATATGTAACAAAAAGCAATTTCATTGTTTTATAAAGATCTGAATGTGTGAACTCTTTTCTCAATTACTTTTTAAAACTGTAACATCCTATGTGAAGTACTGCCCCAAAATCTAATTGAATTGACTCTGTAGATATAACTACCAACTCACAGAAAATAAAATAGAAATGTTAATAAAAACAATGAAAAATGTTAAAAAGTACAGTGGAAGTTCAATCAGCAATATCCAGAGAAAACTCTAGGGCAAGGGATCTGGTTTCTTCAATAAATAAATTGCAAACAAAATAGAGGTGGAGCAGGAACATATAGTTTAAAGCAGATTTAAGAGACAAGTAATGTGTTTGGATCCCATTTGGATTATGATTTAAAATTTAAAATTGACATGGAAATTTGAACACTGGATATTTGATATTTATGCAATAATTGCTAATTTTTTAGATGTAAAATGGTATTAAGGCTGGTTTTTTTCCTTCCAGCTTTATTGAGATATAGTTGCAGTTGGGTTTTAAAAATCACCTTATAGATATATTTATAGCTACTTCAGTATGGGAGAAAATTAATACATTAAAAGGGATAAAATGCCTAGTCTCAGTGAAGTTTTCCAATACATTTTAAAGTCAGAATACCAACAGCCATTAAGAACTGAGACCTAGTAGGTACAGATAGTGTGGTAATTTGTTATGCAAGTTGATCTGTAGGAACTTTTTTTGCTGCTAAATTCCTTAATGAGGCAAACTCCTGACTGAACAGATTGTAGGCATTAAAAGGAACTAGGCCTTAATAAGTCATTTGGCTGAGGGGAAATGACTGAACTGAGCTCCATCCCTTAAGACAGGCCAACTTCGGACAAGATCCCAGAGCTGCTCACTCCTCGGCCAATGCTCCCACTACTGCCAACACATACACAACCTACTCTGCCTTTTTCAAAGATACCAGGGCAGCAGTTTAAGTGCAGATCTGGGACCTGAGATGTCAGGGCTCCTGACTGCAGAAGGGTACTTGAGGCAATGAGGAAAGCTGGTGGTAAGGTAGACATCAAAGTCATCCCAAGTTTTAAAGAAATGACAGTAAGGAGCTCAGAAGGCTATGAGTCTCAAATGGGCTCTTCCTTGTAATGTTCACAAAGCCTAGAAGGTCTCAGGTGTGCCTTGGACTAGAGGGCAGGTTAAAAAAAAAAAAAAAATTCAGTAACTGAATAAGGAAAAATACGGGAGCCCAGAGAATAGCCAGGTAAATAAAACACAGTAAGGACAAGTGCACGGGGCAACCTTCTGAAAGCAGTTCTCAAGGGGGAAAGAGGAAGGAGCAGTTTTGAGAAGAAAAACGCCCCATCCCCCAAATCTCTGAAGCTGGCCCTGGTCAGGGAGAACCGACGTGATCTAAGCCTCAGAGGGCACATAGGTGAGGGAAGGCAGAGTAGTGAAGAGCAAGGAAAAAGAACTCCGGGGCAGGACGAAGTGTGCTACGGTATCTCTAGACTAGCTTAGTGCTGGCGTGAGACGTGAGTTCAGTAAATAGCTCGAATTACTTACTACTGGAGGCCGGCTAACTGCGAACTCAGATTCCCTCCATCTCCACCCAGCGCCAAGAAAACAAAACACTGCGTGCGACGGAGTTCCGCCCCTACGTCCCTCCTGACGCACGCCCGAGGCCACATCAGGGTGCGCAGGCGGTGCTCGCGGTTTACGACGTGCCGGAAAGTAGCGACCCGCATTCCCCGCTGGGCTGGGCAGGGCCATTATGGGGGTGAGACGGAGGTGAACCGCCGCAGGGGTAGTTGGGGGGGCGGTGGGGCAGATCTGGGATGCGGGGGCTCGAGCCCGGACAGAACTAAGGGAGTGAGCTCGCGCTAAAAGGAGCAGAAAGGCAGCACTTGTGCCGGGATGGGCGGGGCTGGGAGGGGTAGACGTGGGGCTACGTAGGCGCATTTAATGCAGTTTGTCTTGGCCTTCCCTTTTTCAGAAAATCGCGCTGCAGCTCAAAGCCACGCTGGAAAACGTCACTAACCTCCGGCCTGTGGGGGAGGATTTCCGGTGGTACCTAAAGGTGCGGCTGCAGTGGCGGGGCCCCTGATGAGGAACGGGCGGAGCATCGAGGTGCTGTGGGGTCTTCAAGGTCCCGCGAGGGGACGCCTTGCCCCGAATTAGTGTTGAACGGGCTTTCTCTCCAGCAAGATTAGAAGTGCTTAGCCATTAAATGTTCTTTTCTGGGTAGAATTTTATGTTTGCTTTTTAAAGTTTATTGGTTCCTTAACTGGCAGTGTCTTGGAATTCCTTTTGTAGTTATTTTCTCCGTTAAATATTTTATGGTATGTAAACAAATGCTAAACAAAGGACTACTTGAAGGTATAGTATGATTATTCAATAAGGAAACTAATTCACCTGTTTCATTTGTTGATTGGTTTTACTGTGAAATTGTTTAATTTTGTACATGGCTCCATCCTCACCTCCCCACCCCATACTGGTAAATCTGGTACTACCCTAGTGCCATGGTCTACAGAGGTCCCCCTCTTACCCCAGCAGTTTGAGGCCTTTCATGCTTCCAAATCCCACAGCTTCTGCTGTTTCCTCCTTGTCTAAATCCCAGCATCTTTCAGTGCCTAGCAAAACAGTGATATATATATACTTAGACCAGAGACCGCAGGGAGGGCCTGTATGAACACAGAGGAAGCTCCTGACATAGCAGGGGGCGGGGGGGGGGGGGGGGGGGGTCCCTTGAGACCATTCCTGTACCACATGAGCCTTGAATTACCAGCTAGGCTGGGCACTTCTTAGGGGAGGTTGGGAACACCCACAGGAGAAACGCCACGGCCTGTTCTTGCCCAGAGGTGAGTCTGGTTATGTCCTTAGTGGGTCTTTTTGTAAGGATGAGATGAGATCGCTGACAGGAAGGTAGTTATGAGTGTGCCTTCTTGCTTTTCCCTCAGTGTCTGCCCAACTGAACTAACTACTTTACTAATACCTTTTTCCCCCCAAGATGAAATGTGGCAACTGTGGTGAGATTTCAGAGAAGTGGCAGTACATTCGGCTGATGGTAACTGCTCCCCCCTACCACTGTACCCACACACACACACACACATCCATCTCTAGGCAGGGATTTGGGGAATCTATGACCCTAGTCTCTCTGGTCTTTGGAACTTGCTTCTTGTGGTTTGGGAGAGCAGGCATTAGTGTGATCAACAGTGGGAACAACAAACTCTTGGGATATGAGGCAGAGTTCAAAATCAAGGGGAAGACTTTGGTCTCAAGAAGCCGCCACAGGATTCTCATCCTAGCAAGTTGCTCACCCTCTTTGGGTCTTGGTCTCTTCAGTTGGATAATAAGTCATGGGACTGAACCTCTTCAGGACCTTACATCTAATTGATATGTGACTGGAGGTTCTGTTTACTCCTTGCTAGGACAGTGCGGCACTGAAAGGAGGCCGTGGAAGCGCCTCCATGGTCCAGAAGTGCAAGCTCTGCGCAAGGGAAAACTCCATTGGTAGGTCAGGCCATGCATACTGAGCCCTGCCAGGCTAGCCCCTAGCTTCCTGTTATCAGATCAAAAAGCAGGCTCATGTTACCTGAGGTACCCAAGCTTCTGCAGCAGACTCTCCCAGAGCCATATCTGGGGACCAGAGGTAGAGCCAAAGTATGAACTCAAATCAATTTTGTTCCATATTTTTTGTTTCAGAGATTTTGAGCAGCACCATCAAATCTTACAATGTAAGTTGCCTGCTGTAGTGGCAGGCGTGGTGGGATTAAATCCAGGCCAGGAGCAAGGAGACCTAGGTTCTGCCCTTAAAAGGGCTGGGCTGTGGGAGCTCAGGGGACTGCTGGCCCAACTTGGCCACTCAGTTTCCAACTTTGGGGGCACTTACCTTACTACATCTTAGAGGGTCTAGTGAGCCTCTGAAACCATGGGTAGGACAGTCCTTTGAATGGTACATCCCATCGTTGATATTGTCTATGTTATTAGGGAGTTATACATTACTGTACCACAGATTTGTCCAAGGGTAAGGGAGGATGTGTGTGGTTTGGGTCTGTGTTTTTAAAGACGGGTATTTAACTTGTATTTATCTATTCCTTATTTGTCTGATTTATGCCAAATTCTCAGTTTCGTCCTTATGTTAAAGAGAAGTCAAATGAGGACTTGCCCTCAAGTAAATCATAATCTAGTGGAAGAGAGCCTAACAAAAAACCAACCAGGGCCAACAGACAAGTGCCAGGCACATGGCTGGGGGGCAGGAAATGGTGTTACAATGAGTGACAGGGAATGTGTAGGCATGGCGTATGGGCTTTCTGGGCCCATGGGTCAGGTAGGCATGAATTTCCTTTCTATACCACCCCATTCATAGGTGCCCCCTCTACAAGCACATCTAATTTCAGAGGCTTTAAGTCAGCGCCCTGTCTTCACAACATAGCAGATGGTTAATAAAAGGCTGTAGCTAAGCCTACTGGGGCCGTTTGGGTGATCTGGAGATTTTGTAGCTGAACATTCTTGTTCATATTTGTGATGCTAGTAATTGTTCTGCCATTTGCTGAGCATTGTGTGGGTACTCTGCTGGGCACTTGACACATATTTCAAGTTCTCACAATAAACCTGTAGTGGTTTCCTCAGCTCTATTTGGTAGAATATGCCCAGAGGGGAAGAAAGGCAAAGCTTGCCTCACATCTAGGGAGGCTGCCCCTAGAGTCCACACATTGTTCTGTAGCATCCATGTCCAAGGTCTCATGGGGAGCAGGTGGCTAAGGCAGGCATCTTCCAGAAGGGGATGAGTTGGTCCCAAGTCCCATTCTGGGCTCACAGGGGCAGTAAGAACCTGTTCAGCAGAAAGGGAAGGGGCCAGGGGGTTATCCTGAGGGCCCAACTGAGCCTACCTCCTCAAGATAATTCTTTTCCAGGCTGAAGACAATGAGAAGTTTAAGACCATAGTAGAGTTTGAGTGCCGGGGCCTTGAACCAGTCGATTTCCAGCCCCAGGTATGTGTCATCCTGGGGGAGGACATCTAAGAAGTAACAGCAGAACTTTGCTCCCTATAGAGACCATGGACTGGGAATTGTGCTAAGAATTATTATTGTTTATTAAATGCCTATTGTATGTGGGGCACCGTGCCAGTCACTTATATGTTATTTAACCCTCACAGTGACCCTATGAAGCTACTCATATTTCAAAGATACAACTTGCCCAGGGTGACAGACAATATAAGCAATGGAGTTGTAATTTGAACCCAGGTCTACCTAACCTCAGGTCCACTGCTCATCCCACTTTATTGGTGCAGCATTTCCACCCCATAGCAAGTCTGTGAGGTAGGCAGAAGGGATAGTATTGTCACTCCCATTTCATAAATAAGAAAACTAAGGTCCAGAGAAAGAAGTGACATGCCCAGATGGCAGATGGTTAGCCAAAGGCTTCAGCTAAGTGTACTGGGACCACTTAGATCATCGGGAGACTGTAGCTTAGACTATCTTTCAGACAATTGGGAAGTGGAAGGGTCTACCCCACACCTCCTGCCTTCTGGTCCAGGGCTCTAATCAGAGGAACCATGTTAGTCTCGGGGCACCTGCCAGACCCTGGGAACTCAGTAGTCATTCCAGAATAGCTGCCAACACTACGTCACTGTCCTCCCTTCCCAAAGGTGGTGTGAGAAAAGCCAATTCCCTGGCCAGGCTCACGTGCCACACCAGTGCCTCCTTTCCCTCAGACTAACTGCTGCTTTCCTGTCCTTGCAGGCTGGGTTTGCTGCTGAAGGTGTGGACACGGGGACAGTCTTCAGTGACATTAACCTGCAGGAGAAGGTACGGAACTTGGGGACCTTGCAGGGTACTATAGGACACCTGGTGGAATGCCTTTTTTGGTGAACAGGGCTCCAATGGAAAGCTGACTGCGCATCTCTGTGTATTTTATTGATGATTTTGGTGTTTAAGGTGGCTCCAAGTGTCATGCTGAAGTTCTGTGTAGTGTTCCACAATCAAGAACACTGGGATGTGCTTGCTGGAGAAAATAAACATTAGATAAGCTTTGTTCAGGCATGAGTTATAATGCTATTGGCTGTGAGTTCAATTTTGATGAATCAACAATATATTTAAAAGGTGTTTTTAATAATCATACATGAAACAAGGTTATATATTGATTGGTTGAAGAACATGTTGTGATCAGATGTTTCTAGGAACCTAACCCTGTATTTTTCCTGGGAGCATTGGCTCATTATTCACTAACTCAGTGTTGGTGGTGACTTTGTAGAACCTAACTGCCACAAGTAATGAGAATCAGCTGCATTACTGGACGTGGTACTGCTTTACAGATCAGGAAACCTCATGTTCAGGCCTCAGAAGGAGGGCAAAAACTTCATTTGACTTGCATAGCACATAATAATAACAGTAACGAATTTATTGAGTTCTCACATGTGCTTGGCACTATGCTAAGTATTTTTACATGTGTTACCTCATTTGATTCTTTCAACATTCAACATGAAGTCTTTCTTTGTCCCCTTTAAAAAAAAAAAAAAATAGAGACCATCACTGAGAATCAGAATGGGTAGGTGATTTGCCCCAAATCACAAAGCCCGAAGAGCTGGAATTCAGGCCTGAGCACTGTGGCTCTGTTCTAGATCGCACATGTTTGTGAATATCTAAGTGAGAGCCTGTACTGGGCCTTATAAGACCCAGTTCTCCATCCATACTGTCCTAGGTTGCTTTGTGAGGCTTAACACTGTCATTTTTTTCCCCTATAGGACTGGACTGACTATGATGAAAAGGCTCAAGAGTCTGTGGGAATTTACGAGGTCACCCACCAGTTTGTGAAGTGCTGACCTCTCCACCTTCACACTCGCCTCTAAGAACTGAGAAGGGACAGTGTGTCCCAAGCAGCAGAGCCCACTGAGGCTGGTACCCTCATCCGTTGTCTCCCGGCAGCTGTCCAAACCCTCACAAGTCTGCATGCTGGGCTCTGTCACACCTTCCCAAGCCCCACCAATAAAGCCCGTTTGTGCTGTACTCGTGCATGAAGGCAGAGTGCAGGAGCAGCCACTCCCTCCACAAGTCAGAATTCATGTTGGAGATCTTTTTCTGCTTCCTCACACCTTCCACAGTGGAGACTTACACCTGATCCAATTTGCAAAATACAAAGGGGCACACAGCTTCTAAGGCCTCTCCAGCTCTTGGGGAATGAGCAGGTCAACCCACAAACCCAGAGGCCAGTGGTAAAAGTGAAGCTAACCCTGTGGAATGATTCCATGAGCCCAATAGTCCTGGGCCAAAACACTGCACTGATTAGCTTGGCCTTTAAGTAAATGCAGGCATCTCTGTTAGCTGGTGTCACTTCATGTTCAAGGGCCACAAGGGACTGCAGAGGTCAGCAATCTAGGCCTGGCATGAATCTGCTCTATAAAATTCCCACTGGGTAGTCATTAGATCTTTGTTGACTTGCTGTGATGGGTCTATCTCCTTCCAAGGCAGAAGTTAGTATGAAAGTTCTTATGCTAAGTCAACCTCTATGCCCCTGGTAGCTCCTGGTCCTTGTCTGTCACCTTTGTGGTCACACTTCTCTGTGCTGCCCCCAGACAGCTCTGTGGAGGTGTCAAGATGGCAGTCTTGGGCCTGGTTCCTGGGATCTGAAGACCCCTGTGTGTGAAGACAGTGGACAGAGTTGTTGAATGCACAGTAAGGTCGGGAGGGCATGCTCATGCCTTCTCACTAGTGAATCCACCATTTGGAAAACCTATTACAAGAGACCTTATTTCTCCAGTGTTCTCCTGGAGCCTGGAATTCTTTAGAAGCAAAATTAGTATCTTCATTTTCTGAACAGCCTACTGGGAATGGGTCTGCCCACTCCCAGGATGGTTGTGGGGCTCTACGACGGGGATCCATTTCAGGTAAAGGTGGCAATGTCCAAGAGTGGTGAAGGGGGGTACCCTATCTTATCCCCCCTCCAGTCTGGCAGCTACATCTTATTTCCCCTAGGTCTCATGTTCCTGGTTCCCGTGGGCCTGCTCTATTTTGTACAACAGTGCTTATTCAGCCCTTCCTCAGCCAGCAGGCCTTCCAGCCCCCTACCCAGTCGGTCTAGTCCATTCCCTAGCCTGAAAACACAAATGGAAGCAACTGGCTGGGTTTCGATACCAGCCGGCATGTGTTAAGCTCATAAAGACAAACACTAAAAGGATCTCAAGGTTTTGTTTATATTTTAAATTACCTTCTCATCTTTCAGGAGGTAAAGGAACCAAAGAAATCATTAATTAAAAGGAAAAAAAGCAAATTATGTCAATAGATGCAGCAAAAGTATTCAATAAAATGTACTACCCATTCAAAAAAAAACAGCAAACCATAGAAACCCTTTGCAAGCTAAAAACAGAGGAACTACCCCTCACCTCAAAGGGTATCTACTTTTGGTAGAAAACCTGGAACAGAGGAGGTGTCTGAAGTGCTCCCTTTGAGATGAGGGTGAGATGAGGATGCCCTCAGTCACTGCTATGCATTGTGCTTGGAGGCTCCCACCCGGTGTGATAAGACAATAAAAAGGTGAAAGGATTGAAAAGGAAGAAATAACTCATTTTTCAGATTAGTATTTTCTACTAAAACCCAAAAGCATGAACAAGTTCTAGATTTAAGATCAATATATAGAAATGCATTTAAGTACACTGGCAACATGCAAAACATAAAAAGTACCATTTAAAATAGCAACAAAGTTTCCTGACCAGTATGGCTCAGTGGGTTAGGTGTTGTCTTGAAAAGCAAAAGGTCTCCTGTTCAATTCCCAGTCAAGGCACACGCCTGGGTTGTGGACCAGGTCCCTGGGTGGGGTGTGCCAGAGGCAACCAAATGGTGTTTCTCTCCCTTTCTCCCTCCCTACTCTCTAAGAGTGAATAAATAAAAATCTTAAAAAAAAAAAAGAATTAAAAATACCTCAAAAAGAATTAAATCTATCAAAGAGGTTCATGTCCTCAATATAAAATTATTTAACTTGATTAAAAAGTGTTAAAGCCTAAACAAATGGAGGCCTATACTATTAGTATAGGGATAGGGAGACTTGGTATTATGAAATTTTCAACAAATGTATTTATAAATTAAATTCTTGTCAAAAATCTCAATTTTTTTTTTAAACAACTTGGCTCTGAAATCTATGATACAACACAGGTGGGAAACTTCCTCTACAGATATCCTATATTGATAAAGCAGTAGCCTTAAGTCAGCACGGTTTGGGCACTCTGCTACAAATGGACCAATGGAACAGTAGACAGACCCATTTATGTATGAAGGCTGATCAATGACAGGAGGTGTAGCAGATCAATGGGGAAATTATTAACTCATCCAAAAGGTGCTGGGGCAATTGTTTTAACTTTCTGCAATAGAATAAAATTGGGCCCCTACTTCACTCCACATACAAAAGTCTATTCCAAGGTTACCTATCTTGAGTGCTTCGGTATTGCAATGTGTTTGGGTAGAAGAGCCTTGGGCTTAGTATCTGACTTACTGTAAACTCCTGGGCAAGTGCTTTTCTTCTCAAGACCTCATGTTCTCCACATAAAAATGAACATGCTTTAGCTCTCACAATTGGTCCTCAATGAGATTAGTAAAAGTGGTGGTGGCCTGTCCTCTAAGTCCTGCCCCACATTTTAGGACAGCAGTCTCCTGTCTGGTAGTAGTAGAAGTTACAGCTATGGGAAGTGGGGACAGTAGAAGATGAGAGTAGATGAACATACTTGACCTATATTGCTACAGCTAATTACATCCCCATGTTACAGGAATTACCCGCATTTTACAGCATTCACAGGCAAGAGAGGCGGAATAACTTGTTTGTGGTCGTAAAGTGAGGACCTGGTAGGATGAGGGTACCAGGAATTGAGGTATTCCTGATGATGGTTCATGAGTGAGAGCAGCAGCATGTTTCTATGTGCACTGGTAGTCATCACATGTCCCTGATCAAACCACAGAATACAGAGGACCTGCTACCTGTTGGGTATTCATTAAATAATTACTGGGTGAAGGATGGGTAGAGTCAGCTAAGAAGACATGCAGGCGTGTTTACATGAACTGTAAGGAGGATTAAATGAGATAGTGCATTGGAAATGCTTGGTGACTGGCTCATAGCAGAATTCAAAACCCACCTGTTGAGTAACTCACTGGGCAAGGCACTGGGAATGCAGATAAAATTAAACACATAAAAAACCCTTCTTTTCAAAAAATAACAGAACACCCTTTCTTAATGTTACAGTAGTGTTCTAACAGTAAATTGTTAAAATTCTGTGTTCACATCACTCAATGGAGAAGTTTCAAGTGCAAAATGTACAAAGTGATCACTTCTACATTAGGCCATAATTAGCACATAAGATTCAACTGGTTAAAATAAATACACACCAATTATAAATCTTCATTTGGCTGGAAGAATAGTAAAATAGAAATCCCTAAATCCATGGGAATAACTTTTATTGCAACAGGACTATCAGAATCAAGCATCAGCAATTCACTTAGAAAAATAAAAAGGATTTTCAAAAAGAGGATGTCCCAGGAGAAAGAGGCAAATTTATGGGGTGCTTCAAACAGCATTTCCCATTATCACCAGAAGAGCCAGGAGCCAATGGGAACTTGCCTGAGCTTACTGAATTTACTTTCGGAAAGTTCTTTGTAGTAGTTAGGAAATTCGGTTAAAAAAAACTCAGAGGAACCATCTTCAAGCCACAATTAAATTTTATTTCTGCTTAAACAATAAATATACCTGAGTTATTGTTCCAAATCCTACCTCCTGTTCAACTGCCCTTAAAACTGAAATCTCACATTTTTAATTATGACATAATTCCACTTAGGAATTACATGTTTAGCTTTAAAACCACATGACTTTAAAGCTCAGGCTGCACAGGCACCTCAAGATTAGTTCAATTAGTCACAGAGTAGACCTATTGGCTACATGGGCCACGATTTTCATGTCGATGAAGTAATGGAGGCGTTTAACCTGCTCAGAAACTAAGTTTTGATAGATTTACCTTCCATGGCATCAAACATGTCTTCTAAGGCCTTGTGCACGCATTGGAGAAACTCCCGGGCATTGCGGCCTGGATAGGAGGAGACATTGCAGCCTATCCAGGTGTCATGAACAACGTACCCAACACCAAAGCCATCAGGGACCACAGGCGCAAAGCCACCAATGTTCACTGCTGGGCTGCTCAGTGTGCTTGTGGACAGGATGTTGTGGTTTATCTGCCCATATGCAGGGTCTAGATATAGCTCAGGCAGGGCAATCTCTTTGGCTGCTGCCAGGTACCGCAGAGCAAATAAGTGTCGGTCAAAGCCCTGGCCTGTCGGAGACAAAACAAAAAACCAGTCTCAGAATCTCAGAACTGAAAGGAATTTAGCAAAACCTCCTACCCATGTAGGAGTCCCCTTCACAGCATCCTTGAGAGTAGAAGGGTCTGTCTACCTCTGCATGCACACTTTCATCTTACTAACCTCTGAAGCTGTTCATTCCGGAATATTTTCTTAAGAAAAAGTTGTCAACAGCTGGTTAAAAATGAGACTAAAATGATTTTAAAAGTATGAAACTAAATCAATTTAGTCAAACAGTCAAGAAAGCACATGAAAAGAAAAATCTAAGATAAAACCCAAAGCCCAAGTCAAGTGCAAAAGACAACAATGAGTCAGTGGAACAAATTGGAAAGGGTTCTAATTTCATCTTTACTGCTAATTTTCTATGTAACCTTCTCCCAGTGGCCTCAGTTGCCTACCTATAAAATGGGGAAAGATGAGACCAGAATGTCTTGGAGGTCTCTTTTCATTCCAGGACTTTTGGCTGCATGGAAGGATTGGACTACATGATCCTCCAGGTCCTTTCCAGGTCTCAAATTATGGCACAAAGAGACAAAGGATGACACTTAGGTTTGGGAAGAGCTTCTGAGATGACCTATTTACAGGGAGTCAACACACCACATCTGAAGTGAAGTAAGAGGTGCTGCGGGGTGAGAAATCGTAAATTGTCAAAATTGAGTCTAATGGCTGACGCATTTCCTCATCCCTGCTTAGGAGAAAAGAACATTTTGATCTCTAGCGTCTCACCTGGCTG